CACAAAGCAAATCTTAATAACAATTTAAATATCTAGATTCTATACTGCATTTTCTCTGATCACGATGCTATAAAACTGTTGTTGTTAGGTGCCATTGAGTCAGTCCTGACCCATAATGATCCTGTGCACACCAGCATGAAACACTACTGGTCCTGCACCATTCTCATAAGTGTTCCTCTGCTTAAGCCCATGGTTGGCGGCCACTGTGTTAATCCATCTTCTTGAGGGCCTTCCTCTTTTATCCCTCTACTTAATCAAGCATGATGCTACTTTACCAAGCATGATGCCCCTCTACTTTAGCAAGCATGATGCTCATCTCCAGGGACTGATCTTTCTGGAAAACATGTCTAGAATATTTGAGGTGAAGTCTTGCTGCCCTTGCCTCTATTGGGTACTCTGGCTGTACTCGTTCCAAGCAGACTTGTTGGTTCTTTTGGCAGTCCATTGTACGGTCAATATTCTTCACCAGCATCATAATTCAAATGCATCAATTCTTCTTTGCTCTTCCTTATTCAATGTCTAAATTTCACATGGATATGAGGTAATTGAAAATACCTTGGCTTGGGTCAGGTGCACCTTAGCCCTCAAAGTAACAGCTCTGCTTTTCCACACGCTAAAGAGGCTTTGTTCAGCAGATTTTCCCAAAGTAATGTGCCATTTGATCTCTTGACTGCTGCTTCCATTAACATTGGTTGTAGAGCCAAGCAAAATGAAATCTTTAATAAATTTAACCTTTTCTCCATTTATCATGTTGTTAGTTATTGGTCCATTTGTCAGGATTCCGGTTTTCTTTACATTGAGTTGGAATCCATACTGAAGGCTGCAATCCTTGATCTTCATCAGTAAGTGCTCCATTCCTCACTTTCAGCAACAAGATTATGTCATCTGCATATTGCAGGTTGCTAATAAGCCTCTGTCTAATATTTTGGCCACATTCTTCTTCATATACACCAGCTTCTCTGATGGTTTGCTGAGCATAAAGATTGAATAAGTATGCTGAAAGGATACAACCTTAATGAACACCTTTCCTGATTTTAAACCATATGGTATTCCCTTGTCTGTTGATACAACTCCCTCTTTATCTACGTACAAGTTCTGCATGAGCACAATGAACTGTTCTGGAATTTCCATTCTTCTCCAGGCAGCTGAATCCTTCTTCCTAGTCTGGAAGCTCCATTGATATCTGTTCAATTTGAAATACCCGCAACATAGCTTACAGACTCACAGCAACACATAAGCCACTACAACCGACAAACTGACGTATAAGCTATACAACATGGCTATAACAGTAGAAATCAACAATAGAACATGAACAAAAGTCAAACTCATGGCAATAGAATAACACACTACTTAAAAATGACTGTAATGGATGAAGTAAGAGACAAGATTTAAAAATTCCTTGAAACAAATGAGAATGAACATACAACATACCAAATCCTTTGGTACACAGCAAAAAGCAATTACTAGAGCACAATTTATAGCATTCAACACACACATGAAAACAGAAAACCCAAGCCTACAATTTAACCCAGCATTTTCAATAACTAGAACAAGAGCAGCAACAACAACTCAACCACTGGTACAAAAGAAGTCATAACGAGCAGAGCAAAAATAAATGAATTGTGTAACAGAAAGAAAAATTCAAGACAAGAATTTTTGGTTCTTTTGAAAAATTAGCATCTTCAGAAACCTCATATGGGGTCACATGGGTAAGAATCACATCAATGGCTATCGATTTTGTTTCAAGGTTTTTTTTGAGCTCTCAAGCCAATATATTTTCAAGCATCTTAAATACATGGGAAAGTTGGATAATGAATAAGGAAGACTGAGGAAGAATTGATGTCTTTAAATTATGGCATCATCAAACACTGTTGGATATGTTATGGATTTCCAGAAGAATGAACAAATCTTTTTTTAAAAGGTGCAGCCCGTAGACTCCTTAGAAGCAATCATGCTGACACTTCATCTCACATACTTCTGGTGTGCTATCATGAGGCACCAACCCCTGAAAGAGACCCTCCAGGGACCAGACCCTGGAAGAGGGTCAGAAAATATGAGAAAGACCATCGAAGAGATGTATTAGCACAATGACTGTAACACTGAACACAAATATGGCTGTGATTTTGAAGATGATACAGGATTAGACAATGTTAGTGTCCTGGTATACACAGGGCTTCAGAACAGACTGGATGATACTCAGGAACTACAACTTTCAGTGGCAATTTATCCCACTGTACCATTAAAACACATTTACCCGTTCCTTTCATTTTATCAATATCTTTTTAACAGCTTTTAATCTGAAACCTCAATCCCTTTTCCAATTTCACTCTTAGGAATATAGCCTTTATGGAGAAAACATGCAACTAAAACTCCTAGATTATGCACTTGTTTACAAATAATTGCTTTTATTACTATTACAAGTGATGGATTATGCCTACTGAAGCCAATACTGCAGCCCATAGCATCTTGGCAATTCAAAACATCAGTCCAGCACTCATTTAATCACTAAATATTTGCTCTATTCTAGAAAATTCACATCAGCAAGAAAGAAAATATAATTTCTCATATATTAAGACAACAAATCTCCTTGGATTCATATTCCCTTCAGGAACTATCTCTGTTTCTTATTTTAGTATCCGTGTTTTGATAGAGTTATTTAGAGCAACTTTTTTGCTAATTCATCTCACTTGCTGTTTACAGTCAAACACACACCATTAAAATTACTTCTGATAATATCGACACTGACTTCCACGGTTTAAGCATCACAAAGAGAATATAAATATATTTCAATATGATAGTCAATTTTCAGTACACTTTGTTTTCGGCTAATTGGTGGCATTAGACACAATCGCCTGTTCTCCATTTCTGGTAATACTTTCTTTCCTTGTTTTCCATGAGAACACTCTCTTGGCTTCTCTCGTGTTGTCAATTACTCCTTTCGATTGGGTTTGTTGGCTTTTCCTTATGTCTTCAAGCCCTAAAGGGTAGACACACAATATTCCAGGAGTTTCTCTCCCTCTCTCTCCCTCTTCCCCCCACCCCCAACACCCATCTTTTTTCACTCCTTTGGTGACTTTTTTCCCCCTGATGTCTAAGTTTTAAATTAACATCCATATATGTAGTGTCTCTAGCTTAGACTCATCCTGAATACCAATGTATGTTCCTGCGTGTTTGATGTCATTACTAGATGTCCGGAAGCCATTTCAAACTTGTGTTGAGAATCAAGTAACCTCTTAACTCTGTTCTACCAACCTTCTTATGTAAATACATGGATGCTTCCTTTGAGAAATTTACTGGTCAAAAAAAAGTCACATCATCCTTGATAACTTGATTTCTCTCATATTCCACATCCAATCTAGCAACACAGTCTATTAGTTCTACTTTCAGAATATATACAGAAGGTGAGCACTCTTTCCACCTCCATCTACATTGCTATGCCTGAGATCGAACCACTCTTCTCTCTTCTGGGTTATTGCTTTAGCCTCCTGACAGACCTTTATATACTTTAACCCTGTTCCTCTATCCAATCTACTTGCAACTCAGAAACGGAAATAACTTTTTAAATCTCTGCATTCAAACACCCAATGATTTTCCATGACTCAGAACAAAGCAAGGCCATGCTAGCAGTCTTGCTATTATTCCAACCTACCAGTTTTATCCCTGCCTCAGGACCTTTGCTTGTCACTCTCCATTCCCAGGTAATCTCATAGATAGTTTAAGCCAAGTTCTTCAAGATATTTGAAGTCAGTGTGACTTTTTCAATGAAGTCTTTTCTGACCACCATATTTAAAATCTCTCCGAATTTCACAACACCTATCTATTTTCCTTCCTTGCTTTATTTTTGGCCAGATTTCTTATTACAATTTGATATGATAATATGTAACTAACTTATGTGCTTATTTTCTGTCTGGACTTTTCCCAGACATTGACATCTCATCTGTCCCAGTCTTGGTGCATCCTTGCTCATACATACTGCAGCAACGTTTACGCTACACCTATTAATAGTTTCTTTGCCCCCCACCTCCAAAAATATATTTCATTTATTTGCCAAAATCACATTACCTTAAAATATTATATTATAGAAAGTATATTATTTGTAAAATTAAAAATAGTGTTTATTTTGTCTTAGAAGGAGCTTGATACAATGGAGCTTTTGAAATTTTATTATTAAATGGATATGGACAGTCAAATACTATGCTACTGATACAAATGATTACAAATGGAAGATAGGAATTGCATTCTCTTGAACTTTGCCTTAGCATTATGGTTAAACACTTGATTGGGAGCAATGGCAAGCCATCTAACCAGAGGGAATCAATCATTTGTCTCATCTGTGCAATACGAGAATTAAATGTTTATCTCTGGGTACATTTTATGTTGAAGCCATTCTTTTACCTCTTCAACTTCTAATACAAAAACAAAACTGAAAAAAGGATAATTTTAGGATTCCAATATATTCAAAATAGTGTCAAGTTGGTTAAAAATAGTAAACTAATTTGGTTTTGGAAACTAAATATTTTTTCCAAATGTTTTGTATATTCAACCTAAGTATGCAGATAACACAGAAACAAAAACCTGTATTGCTTTTTCAAGTCACCCTTATATTTAATGTAGATGTACAATTCTTGTGAACAGGGATAATGTGAAAGTCAAAACAAATGAGATTCTATCAATGTACTGAAGTCCCTGTTGACCTACACTGGTGTTAAGGTTGTCTTTACAATAAAATGCATTAATATATCTGCAGTGCAATGAATAATCATATTAAGATATGTAAACATACTAAATAATAGTTCTTCACTTCATGTCAGATATTGCCATCAAATAGTTCAGGGCACGTTGTTTAGGCACCAAATGTGTCATACACATACAACACACGCACACACAACTTTTAAAATGTCAATGCTTCCTGGGTTCTGGAATAGAAGAGAGGGGATCTGCCATAATTACCCTTGGGGAAAACAACTGATGTTTTGAAAACATAATTTAAAATGCCTCACCTCCTCCACATGTGGCATCACAATCCTCCCAACCTGTGTGTGTCCACATGAATAAAGGCTCAGGCTCTTTAGAGCTCTGGTTCTCTGGAAGAGGGTCTGATGGAATAGTGTATTCATAGTGAAGACCATAATTCTGATCTTGAAACAGCAGCACCTACAATATATATATACAACGATCCAAGACAGATGAGTGAAATTAGAGCACATTCCATCTAAATGATAAAACTCAAGTTAACGATGCCTTAAAGTTTATATTACATGGTGTTTGTTCATGAACCCTTAATATTTAGTTTGGAAGTGACATTATTGTTTAAAAGTTGAAATGCCATACTTTTTCTTTTTAATTAAAAATGGATCTGAACTTACCTCTAAGCTAAAGAAATCACAATGAAAATCCCACCAGAATAAGGTCAGAGATACCAGATTTTTTTTTTTTTGTCAAGTCCATGGAAAAGGCTATTTCCCATCGCGGGGTGCACGTGTGAGGACTTTGGGTTTTACACAAGTGGGGAGATGCAAGAATGTGTTCTACCTCACTTCAAGATCTGACTCACAAACTAAAACCAAAAGTAGCCTTTATGTAAACAGAAAACATGGATGGGGTGCCCCCGAGGCAGCAGAGGATGAGGAACACAGTCTTGGCAATTTTCTACCCACACGTGTGGGAACATGAAGCAAATTAGAGAAGAATTTATTTTCATATATGCTTACAGTTAACTGAATTTTGGAAAAATTACAGAGTTTTCATTTGCAATATACAAAGTTCCCTATGAAGCTTTAAATAAGTGTTCACTGAGTAAATCAACATGTATGCACAGATATGTGAATACTTTACTGAACCAGGAAGGTGTATGGGACTAGCTGAACTTTGGGCCATGGTGGGCTGGTCCGCAGTGAAACAACATGTCTGTCTGTTTTCCATTGCCCCTGGTGCCAAGCCAGTATCAGAACCTGGCTCATAGTAGGCACTCATAAACATGCTTAAAAAAAACCTGAAAAAGAAAATGTGTTCATTTTTAAATACATTTGAACAAAATTTGTGAAATATGTCATTTCTATGACTGTGAGATTAATGAGAGCAATATATAGACTATAATGTGATATATGGAAATTTATCTCTATCTAAATGTTAAAACTACACTAAATTATTATAGAACTTCATTCATTATTTAACCAGTAACATGACAGATAGAGGCACAGATAATTCAGAATTACCTCATACCATGCCAGAGTGAGGCAGGGGTAGTGTGGGGAATGAGGCTGAGAGCTGGAATTGGCTTGATGGCAATGGATTTAGTTTTTCTGGTTTGGTGGAGAAAAGGAAAAACAAAGGGCCAAGTTTAAGAGTTTGAGCATTGCTATTATATCTTATTTATTTCCTTTTCTCAAAGTATATTCAATATATCAAACATAATGATTAACTCATTGCCACAGAGTCAATTCTGACTCATAGAGACCCTCCGAGACAGAGTAGACTGCCCTGTGGGTTTCTGAGACTAAGGCTTTACAGGAAGAGAAAGTCTCCTCTTTCCCTCACAGCGCAGCTGGTGGTTTCAAAGTGCTGAACTTGGGGTGAGCAGGCAAACATGTAACCTACTATGCCACTGGAGTTCCCTAGAATAACTAAGACATATTTTATTATATTTAAAAAGTAGTGCGATAACTTTACAAATAAAATATGTCAACAATAAGAATAATACCTTTAGACTCACACTTGATGTGTTGGGCATTAGCTTTGAAGATCGTCACATTGCAATTTTGGCTTTAAATATCTGAATTTACTAATATAGGGAACTTTTGGTTAAATGAATTTTAAAGAAAATTGGCTTCCCTTATTTTGGCTATAACCAGACTATTAAATCACTTTCAAATTGATCACATTGGTAAATAACACCAGCTATTTATCCACTTACCTATTAAGTGAAAATATTTTTCCTAATACGTTACCTTGTCATAGAATTTTATATTGTCATTGACTATCTAGTGCCATTTAAAATAAAGAGTTGGCTACAAAACCATTTGCTCTCTCTGAAGCCATTTGAAATTGCCAGCCTTCTTCGCAAGAAGGAAAGTGTGAGAATGTTACAGTCGAGAGGCACAAATTGAAGTATGGCAACAGATGGTATTGCCTTTCAAAATCTGTACCCGAGTTTGATCTGCAATAGTCATTAAAGAAAACATTTTTAGAAGGGTAGTTTCCCTTGGATTACTGAATAAATCCAGGTCATATCTATGGCTCCTTTTAGACACAGTTCACTGACTTTACATATGCTTTGTGCTTCCAGGGAAAACCTTGGTAATTACCAGTTAGATTACAGATTCTGTAGGAAGGAAATGCCTCTGCCCAACATGGAGGTCTGACATATACTATAAGATTTTGAGTTAGAAGCTCAGTGTTGTTCTTTTAAAAAGGTAGTTTGCATTTATATTAGGCAAGAAACCCAATGTCATTGTTTATAGTCATCATTAAAAATGTTTGCTCTTGATAATGCCATTATTCTAAGTGACCCAATTATGGAAGCAACCAGGTATTGATCATACAAAATTGTTTTAATTAATTTTTTTCTCTCCACGTGCTATAATGTCAGAATGGTGGCATTTACACTTAAAATAAAAGAATAAGGTCCAAACAAATTGTGGGGAGATGCACAAAATAATGATTAAAAGTGTATATTTTATTATTTAAAATTCTAATTTCCGCAAACTTTTTGAAGCCCACTCATATACCTCTGTCCCAAGGCTGTAAAGAATTTAGATCTACACTTCATATCAGGAGAGACAGTCGAGAAGAGCATTAACAACGCTGGTGTAATGGTTACTTGTTGGGCTGCTAATGGCAAGGTCAGCAGTTTGAAACTACCAGCCACTCCTCGGGAGGGAGATGAGACTTTCTACTCCCATAGAGAGTTATATCCTTGGGAACCCACAGGGCACTTCTACTATACCCTCGAGGGTTGCTGTGAGTTGGAAATGATTCGATCACTGTAAGTTTGAGAAATCACTGACCGGATGACATGTGCCCATTAATTAGCCTTTTTAATACTTCCTTTGCTGTTGTTGCAGGTTTAAGCTGTAAAATGGAGCTAAAATACAAATTACATGGGATTATTATGAGGATTAAATCTATAATGAATGTAAATTAAATGCTATGATTAGTCATTATAGAACTTTCTTGTACACATTCACATATTGTTAATAGATGTTTGTTTTAGGGGGAAATAAAAAAATCAGACTCTTTGCCATAGTCGGTCTAACTCATGGCAACCCTATGCATTCCAGAGTAGGAGTGAGTGCCCCAGGGTTTCTGGGCTAGAATCTTTATGGACACAAATTACCCAGGCTTCCTTTGGTGAGACTTAGTAGAGTCAAACCACCAACCCTAGTACTCAGATAAGCTTAGGCAAGTGAAAAATATTTGAGGAAACCCGAGACCTCTGTAGGAAAATATGAGGTCCCTTTTTCCCTTCTAATTAACCTATATTTCCAGGCTCTAAGTTCCCTAAAGTACTTTTTTGCCCTTGTCATTATCACAGTTCATAGATTTCAAGATGTAAAGCACATAAAAAACGCCCATCTTTTAAAGGGACGTATAGCAATTCTACTTTAGAAAGAGGTTAGAGAAGGTGGGCTGGGACCATGATTGGCAACGTGAAGCTGATGGCACACTGCTTTCCCTCGCTCCCTCCTACCAGGACGTGTAAAGGTGTTGTGGTAGGGCCTTTGGCAGAAATCTTTTCCCAGAGGCCTCGTCGCAGGTAATGGACCGTCGTTCCCGCTAAATTGAATGCTCCAGAGTGTTCAATCTTCCAGTCACTATTAATAGACTGCTTGCTAGCATCTCGGAGAGCTATAAAGAAGTTCAAAAATGAGTATAAATGAGTCAGCATCATTGATCAATATCTAGTTGATATATTTTGATAAAATAATTCATTCATAAATAGATGTGTCTACACTCTAACATCACATACAACTTTTGAGGTCATGGAGTGTAATTCCTGCTCCGATCCCGGGGTAGATTCCACCAACCCTCCACTCCTCCGATCACAAGGGCACAGCCACAGTTACCTTCACCTCTTCCACCCTTCCTGGCCATTTCATGTCTGTCTCACTTATTTTGCCCTATAACCTCATTTTTGGGCACTTAATTATTTGTTCTTTTTACATGATTGTTTTAAGACTATGAGAAGTTCTATGGGGTAATACTACATCTCATACATACTCCATATTTCCTATGGCATTCAAAAAGTGTGTGATTAAAGAAGGGTGATTATATAACATGTTAGTTAACCGTTTTATTTTGTTTTCCTACATCTGACCACATCTCAGGGAATAATGATAAAGGAATATCCTCTGAAAATGCCCAGCAAAAATGTATTAATGAAGGTGACCAGAGTACAGTATTTTGAATTGATATTCTTGGTAATCAGTATTGCCCAGAAAATGATACACACATGTACTATTAAACTCACACATTTTACTAGCTTAATAACAACCACATATGAAGAATAGTACTATGGGTAGGTGACATTTTTTGTGTATCTTTAGTTTTCACACTTTGTTAGTAGAACTCTTGAATTTGCTTATGACGGAATAATGAAATTGTGCACATTTTATGACCATAGGCAACTAGAAAGTGGGGCACTGACAAAGTACAGTTGGTGTCCCTCAGTACCATCGCTCATGGTGACACTCTCCACTCATCCCCTGGACCTCCTCCTGGACCAGCCCACACAGTCTTTACTACTGATTATTCTCTATATTATATATAGAATCATAAGTTATAATTACAGCTATAAATTACTGAAATGTAACATTTATTAGATGACAGGAATACCAATAATAAAATTGTTTGGTACAATATGTCTGCATTGAATTGCAACATGATTGGTTATGACATTATTAATAACTGAATGGAAGCCTTTTTTATTTTTCGCCTCCTTTTCCTCTTTCAATTCATTCTTAAAAAAAAAAAGAAAAAGAAAAACTATTGGGATAGCTCATGAATACTAATTACCATAATATGTTGAATAGTTCTGTCATTTTGTCTTTTTAACTCCAAGTTTTTGTACATTACGTAATAATACTTTGTTTTCTTGAGATGCCCTTTGAAAGTGTCTGTTCCAGTCTGTTTATTTCATCATTTATTCCCTTTGTTCTGGCTCATTTCAGAATCTCTTCAGATCTTCATATTTATCTTTCTTTCAGGTATTTTTAATGGCCTAATACTTTCTTCATATATGTGTTCCTGTTGTTATCTCATAGCTTGTGATATCAGTCAGTGTTCAGTGACTCAAATCTGTTCTTGAGATGTTCTCAAATTTAGGTGAGATCTATTCAAGGTCAGAGTTTGACTCTAATTGACTTGTTTTCATTTTCAACTTTAAATTGAATGTACATTTGATCAAATGACGGAACTGTCCCACAGTCTCCCCTGGCTTGGTTTTGGATACTGATGCATATCTTCTCCCTTGTCTCTTCCCACAGAGGTAGTAAGTTTGACTCCTGTGTGTCACATGGGGAGAAGCCCATATGCATAGTCCTCATTTCTATTTCTATCAAAGGTATTTGTGATGAAGAAGTTAGCCTTGCAAAATTCAGTCAGGTAATCGCCAACTTGTTTCTGCCCCCATGGCCATAGTTTCTGAGTTCAGTTCCTTCTCCTTTGTCTCCAACTTTTGTATTGCAATGGTCAATAATTATCCATGCTTCTTGATTGCATATTTGATTAATTTTCAACTGAAGTCATTGGTATAATTTCTCAGTTTCTTTATCAATAACTTTATTGGTTGGTGCATAAATTTGAAAAGTTGTATTGACTGTATTTCCTTGTATGCAGATAAGTATTATCTTATCATAAACACAGATCTTGTAATGTTGGCTTTGCTGATGAATGTGATGCCATTAGTCTTGAATTTTTTATTCCTTGCATAACAAACCATATGATTGTCTGATTTAAAATGGCCAATACCAGTCCACTTCAGTTTACTGCTGCGTAGGGTATCGATCTTTATGTGTTCCATTCATTTTTGATGACTATCAATTTTCCAAATTTCAAACTTCACACATTCCAAATTCTGATTATTAATAGATATTTGCAGATATTTCGTCTTATTTTGAATCATGCCCCATCAGCAAACAAAGGTTCGGAAGGTTTTACTCCATCCACTATGGTCAAGTTCACTTATTATGAGTGCCTTCCAACAGGAGTGGCTCATTTCCCAGGAGTATATCAGATACTACTCTGCGGCTATTCACAAAGTTTCCAGTGGCTAATTCTTTAGATATTGATAATCTTTTGCTTTTTTAGAGTCTGTATTGAAGCTATCCTGAAACCTATTCACCTTGGGAAAACTTGCAGGTATTTGAAATACCTGTATGATCATTTCCAGCATCACAGTAACACTTGACTATCATAGTATGACAAACTGACGAATATTCAAGTCTCAAGTTGTAATATTGAAAGATTCCGTGGCAAAATATTGAATGGTGCAGGAAGCATTAGAAGAAGTTGGAAGGAATACAAACAACTGTATCCAAAAGAACTAATCAATATCCAACTGTATCCAAAAGAACTAGTCAATATCCAGCCGTTTCAACGGTAACCTATCATCAAGGACTCACAGTATTGAAGGAAGAAGTCCAAGCTACACTGAAGGCATTAGCAAAATGCAAGGCTCTAGGAATTGATGGAATATCAATAGAAAGGTTTCAATAAGCTGGGGAGCACTGGAAGCGCTCACTCCCCTAAACCAAGAAAGGGAAGACATGTAGCTAGCCAACTGATTAGCAGACATCCACACCCTTTCAGCTTGCCTACAGGCATGCCTTTATGTCTTCCATTTGTCATTCTCCGCCTAGGAAGCCATATGATTGCCGGTTGCAAACTGACAAATATTAGTTAATTTCAGCTTGAGTATGCATCATATATTGATCATTATGCATTCCATTTAGTTTTTGATGATTTTCAATGATCTAGTCTTATTATGCTATTTTTAAATCCTTCTATTTTATATTTAGAAATATGAACCATACTATTTATATATATTTCTGAAAATGGAGAGACTTTGTCTTTATGTACACACTTTGCATTCCATTTTTTTCCCTGCTCCCTCGGGAGCATTTCTACACTACCCTGTAGGGCTACTAGGAGCTGGAATCCACTCAATGGCCTTGGGAATTTCTTTTCAGTTCAATGATAAATGTTAACAGCTGGAATAAGTGTTTTAAAATTTTCTTTTTTGGTTGCATTTGTTCATAAATACTAATTGTTCTTGTTTTATTAACTGTTTGTCTGCTGTAGTTTACATTCAACCCAACCAGCAAGGTCGGTTGATCTATATGACCTGTTTTTGATTATTTTTTAAAAATATAAGTTATAATGATATTTTAAAGATTCTCCCTGAAGTACTCTCCACTTTATAACTTTCAATAAATTAGTAATAAAACCACAAAGTTCAGAAAAGCATAATAACAGCACATGGGAATGAAGTTCAAAGAGAAAGTAATGAAAAAGATAATTACATTGAGAGGGAATTAGATGTCTCCTAAGAGATAATATACGGTTCGAAGTCGACAAGTTAATTTGTTAAAGTATAATGAGCTTGCCAAGATTCTATTTTCCTTTCTCTTTGCTAAAGACATTTTCAGACGAAGATTTCCAGTGACTTCCTTCCTATGCCTGAGAGCCTTTAGTAAATGTGATTTATGATATACATCTTCAGCCAAGTTTTAGATGTGAAATGTCGACATTAGTACTGTGTCACTTCATTTTCCCCACACATGCTGCCCCAAACCCTCCATGTGCCTCCCATCAGTAAATGGAAAGATACTTGTTCATTTGTTTAAGTCAGAAACTGAGAGGTGATCCTTGACGCTTCATCTTCTGCCAGCCCCCATAGCCATTTCTAGATTAGCTACCTCAGTTCAACTTCTTAGATGTCCCCTGGAAGCCACTGAGACGGTGACTACTGGGGAGATATTAGTGACTACATATTGGATCCCTAAAAGAGCTGCAACAGTATAAAGCCTAAAACCTGTGGGAATCACAGCCACTTCTGGTAAGTCCTTCGAAGACATGGGATAGCAGAGGAGAGAGTTGTGTCTGGAACGGAGTACTGCAATATAGGAACATTTGAAGATGATACAGAAGTTGAGGATCCAGCAAAAGAGACCAGCAAGGGGTATCCAATGAAGTAGGAGTCCTCGGATATAAAAGAAGAAAGTGTGCAGTGATCTCAGGAGAGGTCATTAGTTTTGAATGCTGTTTATAAGCCAAGGAACATATGACCATTGGTGTTTCACCACAGAGGACATTTGCTACCCTTGAGAAAGGAGACAGAAAACATAAGTGGATTGGTTGAGGGGACTGCGAAGTAAGGAAGTGAGGCAGTCTAAAGACGTAGAGTCTATTTTGTAGAATTTGTGAAAATTCCATTTGAAACATCCATGTCCCCCTCTAGTTTGGGGCAAAAATAATGTATTTGTAGATAAAATAGCCAATTGTCTGTTGCCGAATAAATTGTTGAAATCTCAACAAGTAATCTAGTTTTTCCAAAAACTGGATGTAAGAGCATCAATCTGAATTTAGATATCTGTGTGGATCTACTTGTGCTTACATGGATTTAAACACTATATTAGGTTATAAAGATATCTGTGTGTGTGTGTGTGTGTGTGTGTGTGTGTGTGTGTATAACGACAAATTAATGAGTGTGTGATACAGCTGTGGATTTCTCCTTCTGCATTCTTACTTTGTAAAGGCACATCCTGATGAAAAAACAATACAGTCTTACTGTAGCTCTTTCTCCATGTTGTAGAGTAGAAACAATCATGGAAAGTTCGGTTATTTAGGAATTTTGTAAGTAGAAATTTCTCTATTTAGACATTTTGTTTATTGAAGAAAAATGAGAACATTCATTTTCTAAAAAAGAAAACAGGGAAATGGCTTTCTTTAAAAATAATATACACATAATGTGTCATTTCACATAGCTTACATTATAATTTCAATGAATAATGAATGCATCTTTGGACAAGTCGATATTTTCTTTTATATATTTAGCAATCATGAATTGACCTAATTAAAATGCTAAAACTATGATACATTATACTGCTCCTTTGTAGGTGCAGTATAAAAATATTAAAAAATCCTCTCTTGTCAGGTGAGTTCCCCTAAAGTGAGACAAGAGCGTAGGTCAGCCTTAGGTAATTACCGCGTGCTGCTGTCTCAGAAATATTACAAGTGAATGACGTTGACATTGAGCTTCCTTTGACAGTTTACAATGCGAGCAGTGTGAGCCAGGCTGCCAGACCCAGGGAAGATGTGTTCGCTCTCTCTGCCCTGAAGGAAGGCCCTCTTCTTGAGCATCTGTTTCAGGCTGATCTTCGGGTGCTGGTCGCAGTCTTTCCTCCAGCTCCGCTTGGGCTCCATCCCTAGTCTACCTCCTAAGAGACTGACTGAGGACACTCTTCTGTTACCGTTTCATTAACATAGCGAAGACAAATCGTTTTCGAACGGATGATGACTAACGGGATCTCAAACCGCACACCCCATCGACTGCTATGAAGTCCATTCAGACTCATAGCAACCCTTTATAGGGTTTAAGAGGTTATAAAATGTCCAGTGTAAATCTTTACTTGAGCAAAGAGCATAAGCTTTCTCTCAAGGAGCAGCTGGCTCGCACGTACCACAGACTATGTGGCTAGCAGTCCAACACTTACGCACAAGCACCCAAAATCTCCCTGAGCCAAAGGCATCAAGGTTAAGATTTCCAGCACATACGACGCTCCACTGCAAGATCCTTTCGCGTGAAAAAAAAATTCCCGTCATTTCAGTATGTGGGAAAGGGACAAAAACAATCGCTCAAAATGTCCTACTTCTAATAGAACCATTTTCTATTTTCGTGAATGTCTTATATTTACCCACAAAATTAATATATGTATGTGTATGTATATGAAACACAATCTATCCAAATCCTTTTTTAATGTATTTAACATGTGGAAGCAATTTGTAACCCTTGAAAACTATACAGACAACCAGATTGCTTTTGGTCCTGGGCAGTCCCTGGGAGAGAAGGAAATCAATCCCGACTTGATATGACATGAGGCACTTCCTGGGAAACCCAAACATGTAACTAGAAACAGATCGACTCCCTCTTCTTCCCAGGACTCTCTGGGCAGGGAGTCCGAGGAGCGCGGTCTGGAAGAGAGGTTACCTAGATAGCTGTGCGCCGGCTTTTCTTCCACCACGTTGATTCTTCTGGCTCCCGCAGGTATCACGAGCACTTCTACGTAGCCTGGAAGAAACAAGAACACAAATACATAAACATCTTGAGTTCTCAATAAGGTTGACTTGCCTCTTCCTTTTTTTGGTTTAGTTTTGCTTTTTGCCCTATGTCACTTCCTATGGGAAGAAAATATGCGTAAGGCTGTCCTGCTTCCAAACGGAGCAGCTTCTTGGAAAGATTCGGGGTCCAGAGTACAATCAAGGGCATACAGGCAATTCTATTTTCCATGTTATGCAATTCACTGGTACATGAAGAACAGAGAAAAACGTATAATGGGACAGCCAGCTCAAAACAGTGAACAAAGTCTACCCTGAAGCAAATAACGTATGACTCTGCTGCGGGAACTCCTTGGAAGTGCAGACGAGGGAAAGCAGCAGCGAGGCCACAGCTGGCCCCGATCATGTCCTGGAGTGGTTCTGTATCTGACAGGAAGGATGAAGCACAAGAGATTAACAAAGGCTTTGCAATTGGAGCTGGAGACAAGCAACTGCAAGACCTCACAAAGCAATCAGGTGTCACCTCCCAGAGTGCCAGCTAGGAGAAGGATGCAAATAGCTGCTTCTCAGGCTAGGGTGAAAAACGCAGTCCTTGAAGGGAAATGCGATGCTCAGGTGTAGTGATACGGAAGCATGCTAAAAGCGACTCGTACAGAGTAGGGATAGTGCGCTTGAAAGGCTACCTTTGGTTCAGTTTAAAAATCATATTAAGATATGTTTAATATGATTCTGAGCACTGATGTCTGGATCTATATGCCCAATAAAAGCCTTATTTCTGTTTTAAAAAATAATTCTAGGGTTGCCTCTTTTTTTCTTAATTTTTAAACATTTCTGAAAGTTTTCACACTTATTTGGTCTATACCAAAAGGTAGCATACGCTCCCCCCTGGTGGCAGTGACTGGATTTAGAATCATTTGTAACCATGCTTATTCAATTTAACCATCCGGAATACACCAAGCATAAAAAGACTATATTTCTGAGACATGAACAGTACACACAGCAATGAAAACAAAACAAATATTTAGTGCCCATTTGTACAAATATGTAAGGTAAGGTGGTCTCTATTCTCAATAAGCATATATTCTAATTGGATATACAAAATATAAATAACTCATACATAGGTGGGTTAAACAAAACTGCCAAAATTATGCTTAATGTGGTAATATACAAATGATATGGTAATTACATATGAAAGAATGTTGGTATGAATCCGAATATTTCAGCAATCCTTCTTTCCTGCTCTCTTCCTTAGTCCCCCTTCCCATAAGGTTCACTGCTATTTTTGTCACAAACATTTGGATGTATGCATTAGTCACACTGGAAAACACCAGCACCAGCTCTAATCACTATTTAGTAAGTTCAGCCTTGTGATTTGTATTTAATGGAACAGTATCTACTAGTAATAAAAAGTGTCCAGAATTCTCGAACACCTAGAACACCTGAGAGGGTCTACCAAGGTACTTTCGGGACACATTCTTGCAGCTGCTGTAGTTTAATCCACAGGACTACAAAGAAAAGATGGAGAAGGGGAGAAGTCATGGACTCGGCATGGGAGATGGCCCTAGTCAATAATAACCAGACCCCAACCAAATCACTACCCCCAGGTGTATGCCTTCTCATAGGGACAGGCCCTACCCAGGATTTCCAAGAAGGCAAATCTTTACACACATATGCCTATTTTTCTCTCACAGAGAACTGACGGGTTTGAATCATTGCAGCCCAATGCATACCTCACAGTGTCCCTGGAGCTCCTTCAAGACAATAATGGGAGAGGGGTTGAAAATAAACCAGGAAAGAAAAGAGAGAGGGGTTAATCACCACCCAGGAGAGAAGGGGTCTATTTTGGTACAGTGGGTTCCTATGGATTAGACTACTTCAAGAAGGAAAGTGTCCGGGCAACTGTGAAAAACTGCAGAGATAGCAAAGGGCAGGGTTAAAGTAAGTCCAGTCAATTTCACAGCAGGTTACTGTTTATCTCTCTGCAAATGAATCTGGCAAAGTGTTTAGAGAAGATGTTAAGTTTCAGATAGAAACACGTGGAAGGAATGTGTACACGATCCCGAATGAGTTTGAACTCATAAATTCTGAAGTATTTTCTGTATTAGTGCAATGGTTATATCTAAGTTCATAGACAGCAATTCTGACGGCTCTGTTGAGCAAGTCTTGGGCTGCTGACCTCAAGGTTGACAATTCAAAACCACCAGTTGATCCCTGGGAGAAAGGTGCAGCTGTCTGCTTCCATAAATATTTGCAGCCTGGGAAACTCTATACGCGGTTCTCTGAGTTGGAAATGGGTCAACGGCAGTGGAGAAGTCATACTTATTTCTAGAGCAATTCTTGAATATTTGTTCTACTGGTATGGCTCTGAGGCAGGTATTATCACTGTGTTTAAATAAAAAAGGTGTCCAGAAACAATTAAGCAAAAATAATTTGAAAAGAGAAAGTCAACAGCTGGGGCCTTTTGACAAAATTGAGGGATAAATTTATTTAAAAATTTATTTAATTTTTTTTAAGCTGTGGATAAGTGACCACTGTCTAATTTATAAAATGAAACATGATGCCAGTGACATTAATCTCAATAAATTTGATCCTAATTTTGAACATTTTGTTTTGCACAGAAAACAATCCTATCATCTAACCAGAGGTTTCAGTTTTAGAAAACGAAAACCATCTAAAAATGCTAAACATTACCATCATCTTCATGATAGGAATAATGATGAATGCCATCTATTGAAAATTGCTATTATAGTTTTTCTACATGGTAAAATACAAGGTAGATATTACAATTTTAACCCGATAGACAAGAATATGAAAAGAGAGAGAGACAAACCTTTTCAAGACTGTATTGTCAAGACAGATCCAAGCTTTGAACTTTGATCTATCTGGTCTTGATCGCTCCTTGTGATCACTCAGTGTTACTGTTATGAGCATCATCATCATTTTATGCGAAGAATAACACTTTAGGCCCAGTGGTAGTTAGGTTTTGTGTCCAATTGACTGGTCCAGAATTCTCAGTGGTTTGACAGTTAAGGCTTAGTAATCCCCAGGATATGATATAAGGCAGTTTAATCAAATTCATACCTGGATCTGCTGGGAGCAGCCAATTGTTATAAGAGGAGGGTGGAATGCAACTCCTTTGCTCAAGTCATAGCCCTGATGCAATTGGAAGGCAGTTTCCTGAAGGGTGTGGCCTACTTTATATACACCTGGACTATGTGGAAATGCCTGTTTGCTTTTTTTTTTCAGGGTTTAGATCCTTCATGTAGCTCCTCGACCATTACGCTTGGGCCAATGGCCTACCATATTACCTGCCGATTCTGGGAGCCATCTTACCTATTGACCTTGAATGCACTTTCTTCTCTAGATACAAGCCTGACCTACTGACCTAGGATTCATCTGTTTCTAGCCTTTCTGTAGAATTTTGTGATTTTTCTGCCAATCTTGGGTTCATCAGCCCCTGAAGCTACTCAAGTCAGAAGAAACCTCCAGCTTAACATCTGACCCACCTAGGTACGTGGAACCCTTCTGGAGACTAACTGGACGTTCCCACTTCTATAGCTTAGTGACGTATTTCCTTGCTATAAATTTCTCTATATAAGCGCCCCTGTATTTTTAGAGAAGTCATTGTAGCACATGCTCATTTTTTTATTGCGTATTGATAAACAATTTTCAATCCCCACAAATGCTGAGATATACAATTTACTTTTCATTTCTTTTAAAAGAGAAAATCTTGCCTAGGTAGGTTATATTGAAAATATGTGACAAATGTGTCAAGAAAATGAAGTGATTCACACAATCTTTTATGCCTATTTTCTAGTGCCAGCAAAAATGGTTAAGCAATTTCTAAATTAAGCAAAGGGGCTGAGAACAGCCACATGTGTCTACATGGGTGCTGTTCATGCAAGATACACAGGGGATACGGCTAATTATATCAAATAGTCTACAACTCTCTCCAGAAAGACTAGAAAGCTCATAAACCATAGGAATGAAATTGTCTCCAGAGTAATGAACACAACATTCCTGAAGCCATGATAGAACTATGGACCCTAAAGGACTTTATTATATGAAAGTCTAGAAGCATGTGATGTTGTATTACTAATTAACTGACAGTTACAGATCCAACATTGTATGTGAATAAAAAGTCATTGTTGGAGGTAGTAGACAGAGGAAATAATGGCTATAAAATTAAGTTAATTAAGGAAGCAGGCGATATAGGAAGAAACCACAGGCTGCAAAGCAATGTCCAGAGGTGAACATAGCAGACACGAATAAGCAAAGGATAGACAATTGACATTGGTAACTAACCCAAGAATCTTAGACAGTCTATAACTTAGTTGTCTTTCTGATCACAAACTTTCCCCTGTGAAAAGATTGGATTGAACTCGTTTAACACACATTCACAAGAACACTAAGTGACCTAAAATAGTGGCTCCAGCACTAACTTGAGATTTGAACTAAGAATAAAGGAGTTGTACACATGTTCAATTGGCTATGCTAAGTATCCCAGACACCCTTGCTAAAGATTTCCATTTTTAATCTTCAGACTCCAACTTGATCCACTGAGGTGCATGCACTCGCTGAAAAAGGGAGCCAGGAAAGAGCTCATAGAACTATAAGGCTGCACAAAGCATCCACACTACAAACCTTCCCCTATGAGACACATACCGAACATTGACACAGATGACAACCAAACGAAAGCTGTTGACTTGTGAGCACAAGCCCTCTGTCTATGGCATGTCTCCCTCGCAGGCTGCCGCGGAGGCAAGGCTGCTCGTGGGATGCGGCCCCTGCAAGTTCATCTTGTAATAAATGCCTTCACACCGTTTTGACTTTCTAGTCTCTGGGCCATGCTTGCCTTAGAGAACAGTCTTGGTATTTTTTCTAACTGAATTACAAGATAGTCGGAAGGCCATGAGCAAACATTATCAACTGGTCATGGCGGTGGACAGAGAGGCTGCTTATGAAATATGAAAAATATTTTAAAAGTCATATTTAAGCTCAATTCTAAGTTGTTGTTGTTCTTAAGTGCCACTGAGTTAGTTCTGACCCATAGCGACCCTCTGCATGCAAGAACAAAACACTACTTGCTCCTCACACTTGCTTTATACCTGAGCCCATCACTGCAGGCACTGTGTCAATCCATCTCCATTTTACCAAGCATGATGCCCTTCTCCAGGGGCTGGTCTTTCCTGACCAGGCAGTGTTTTGTTCTGTTGTGCGCATGGTCACTATCCGTGGCATGAGAATTGATGAGACAGTACTTAACAGCAGTAACGAGAAACCCAACACTTGTGGTTTTGAGCAGGAAGAGACTAGTGTGAGGTGTGAGACTCAGAAGGAGGTGGTGCTAATAGTCGCTGATATTCCTAATATTTCAGTTACCTCAAACAATTTCTAAGTAGCAAATGCCATGAAAATATAACTTACCTAAAACAAGCATAAGAACAAAGTAGATTTTCAGTACAATAAGAATACAGAGGGCTTAGGGGAGAAACCAGAAGATAACTATATATAATAACTATATTCTGAAAGGAATGCAATACTGATTTAACAGTACAGTATCATACTTTTTATGGTTAGTGGTAAAATAACGTGTTGTTGTAATTTAAGGAAAATATCATTGTTGTTTGTGCATCTGCATCCTTCAGCAAACTGTTTCCTTGCATATTAAATAATTATGAAGAGTATTCTACAGAAGTTGGATTGCTTTATATCCTTCTTTCAGATTTCATTTGAACTTTTAAAGAATAATAACATCTCTCAAAATAATAAGGCTGAAAAGCTGATTATCATTACATTCCTTAGCGTGGGAGCCCAAGAACAAGGCTGTCTTTTCTAAAGGAGTGCTGGCAGATTTTGACTTGTGGGACTTTTTCTCCGTTTTCACAGCTTTGGAGATTCAGATTTTTCTCTGCAAGTGACCCTTGGCCTTTGTTATTTTTTGGCTTTAACAACTTCAGGCTTACTTATCTCTTGTTCTGCTGGGGCTAACTAAAATGTTACATTTAAACTATAGAAGGCTGTATCTAATTTACTTTCCTGAAGAACTCTTTTTACCTCAAATGAACTCAGTTTTTCAGTTATTCAAACATAAAGAGCTTGTTTCTTTTATTAAATCGAATATCTATTTTGGGCTCATGTTCTATGATACACCTTTTGAACAAGAGAGGAACTTAAGATAGAAATATGCATTATAAAGTATATTAATAATGATAAAATTGAGTAAAAAATACAAAAGTGGTTCAACAAATATATACTCAGTTAAGAGATGAATGTGAGATTTCTGGGTCATTGGATGGCTGAGGCGTGGGGGGGAGGGGGCATGCTTAAAATGATCCACAAGGAAAACACACTACCAATAATGAAGTAAAATGACCCAGAAATGGTCTTATACTCAGGTTCTCAGGCTTACTGGAAATCAGCAACACTTTCTGTGTTCACGTTCATCTAACGCACACATATACTACCTGATAATACAATAATTATAACACAGACAGCATCTGATTTTTGCATCTACCGGTTACTATTATATCAACGTAAATGAAAAGAGAATGCAAGTGAAGCTCCTGCTGCTCCTTTGCAGCAACGTGTCCACTGTGCAGGTTTGCCATAGGCTCGGTGCTGCCAGCATTTCATCTTCTTACCTGTATAGTTCAAACAGCAAGAAAATGAAGACACTGAAAAACCGAAAACCTGAAGAATACTGTTCTCAAGAGTAGCCTCAGGCTGCTACGAATCTTATTTTATGAGAAACAGCATGCTTTGCACTGGAGAAGAGGTTCTGCAGAAACCTGGTAATGTTAGAAAATGCAAATTAGGTTATTCCCTTGCTGCTCTAACTAGTAAATGCACAACAGATGACTTCATATTTTCATTATTGGGAAATCAGCTTGTTAGACTTTCTGGCTCATCTCATATGTATTGTGTGTCATCACAAAAATATCATTCAATACCTATTGTGAAAGCCTACAGTGAATGAAGAACAGCGATTCTAAATCAAGTGCAGTGTATTTCTGTCTCCCAAGATTTTGAGGATAAAAATGATAAAAAATTACCTGCTCCTCTGGTATGATTGAAATCTCCCTTAATGATTTTGCATGACCTCCCGTTTCCATTGCACACACCACAATGATCTTCCCTTGCAAGTGACCCTAATAAACCATCACAGCCAACTTTCTGTAACCAAACAAAGAATATACGTCAGAAAGCATATTAATCATTACAAAAAAGACATATCATCTGATAGCCTAGTAAACTGTCATATTCTGTGCTGTAAATTAATATATACAAGTTCATGTCCAGTAATATAATCTGTAAAATGACTGAACAGTAGGATAGTGATGTTTCTTATGTTGAGAACTATATCCAAGTTAAGCTAAGAAAAGTAACATTATTGACAAAAATGAAATTCATATAACTGGAACAGGAAATCACATTTGTATTAAATATAATAAGATTCATTAAGTTCGCTCTACTCAATATAGACTATATGTCTTTCACTATATGCGTGACTCCAACATAAACTACTGAATAGTCAATCAACCGTCCGATACATCGAACAGCCACTCAGTTTCATTGCCGTTCAGTAATCAGTCTGCATCTCCAATTACGGTCGTCAGCAGGGGAAGTGAAGAGAGACAAAGAGGGTGCCAGCTCCAACAGACTATGAACAGGTGAGGATATAATAGATGGCTCTCCAGAAGATTTTCATTAGTACGAATCTTCTGATAGTGAGTCAATTGACTAATTTCTACTGAATAATTTTTCTTTTTGGTCTTGGATAGACTTTGAAAACACAACAGTTTTGCAATGGTATGCACAAACAAATGGCTGAATTTATCAATTTTATATAATAACAACACAATCAGAAATACAAGGATTGCACATTTTCCTTTCAAGAAGAACGTTTAGGAAGAGAGATTGATGATACATGCACTGTAACAAGTTTCAATTATTTGAGTGGAACTTTAAAAATATTTAGAAAACAAAAGTTAAAACTCTAGTTTATATTTTGGTGGTTACTGTTGGTGTTACTGGGGCGGGGGACGCTAGCAGTTTGTAAAATGCAGATAGATGTAGGAATGATATCCCGAGAGGTAAAGCAACAACAACAACATGCACATAGAAATGTATAATATCGCTTCCCTTCCATTGTCCTGGAGGACGTATCAGGGTCAAGAAGTTGACAAAGCAAATGCAGTACTGGAGAACTCCCATCAACAAGTCAGCAAGTCTTTCAGGGAGAAACAAAGCGACTATCTGGCTGAAAGAAGCAGCTACCACCGGAAGCGCTAGAAATACAGTCAAGGTGTGTGAAGAGGACACTTAGCGGAGCCATGGAAAGAACTGGGGGTCTTAAAGTGACACTACACACCCACATCCACACCCACACGTGCACACGTGTGTGTTGCACCTGTCTCTCTCTCTCTCTCTCTTTCTCTGTCTCTCTCTCAACAAAGCATAATTCCTCTTCACTTACAAATAAAGAGGGGGAGAAAGCGTAGTTTAGAGAGGTTTCAAAATCCCCAGTTGGAAACCCCCAGTACCCACTGTGTTTCTTTGCAAATACCCACTGCCTTGAGGAGTGGATTCTGACTCATATTGACCCTATAGGACAGAGTAGTACTGCTCCATAAATCTTTAAGAGAGTAGACAGCTTCATTTTTCTCCCACAAAACCCCTGGTCTTTGATCCACTGACCTTGTGGCTAACCGCCCAACACCTTAACCCACTGTGTCACCAAGGCTCCTTAACAAACAGTATGAGTAAAACAGATACATAAATTTGTACTTCTGAATCATCATCATCATCTGAAAATAAAACCCTGTCTCTGTGGAACCATCAATTTCCTATTCCCGGGCCCAACAATTCACGAATCCCTTTCCATCAGTACAGATTTATCTCTTCTGCATATTTCGATAGATTTGGATCCCATGTGACTTTTTGTGTTTGGCCTCTTTCACTTTGCATCATGATTTCAAGGTCTATCCACGCCATACCATGTAACAGTACTTCATTCCTTGTTATTGTTGGATACTATTCTTTGTACCACATTTGGTCATCATTCATCTCTTGATGGCTCTTTTAGTTATTTCCACTTTGGGGCTCTTTTGAGTGGTGTTGCTATGAATATTCATGAATTTTTTTGTTTTTGTTTTCCAGTATATGTTCCCAACTCTTCTGGATATATATATATATATATCTGACATATCTGGAAGCAGAATTGCTGGGTCATATTATAGTTCTATGTTTCATTTTCTGAGAGATTGCCAGGCTTGTTTCAAAGCATCTTCAGCATCATGCATTCCATCAAAAGGGGCGTTCCCAGACTATGTCACAGACACGCATCAATCCTTAAAATTGTAATCAGCATGGTCCCATCGTATGATCTGATGGGGGTTTTTTGTTTTGTTTTGATTGATAATGATGCTAAACATATTTTCATATAAATAACCATATGAGTTAAAATCAAATATTTTATGGTAAGTTGTCATAAGAATTTATGGGAAAGTCAAAATATGCTCAGATAAATCCAAAAGTTCATGAACAACTTTACAAGGCCACCCGGTTTAACTGGTGACTAGTATCTAAAAGGTCGCTGGTGTGCTGGATACGCGCAGGCAACATGCAGGTTCACACCCTTTCTGGTGGTGGAAACTGCTTGAAGCTAAATTGCGTCTCATGTAGAAGTTGATTTATTTTCAATTTCTCCCGTCAGTCCATTCACCAGGTTTAAAATTCAGCTTTCAGTTTTTGGTGCTAAGTAGTTTTTGATAAAACAAAACTTTCTAGGCAAACCCGATATGGGGAAGGTTCTCATAGGGCATGCTTTGAATCATATTGAAAGCTGGAATGAAGCATTCTAGTTAAAAAGCTAGAATATTGAAGTATTCCAAAGTCACCAGGAGTCAAAAGTCATTTTTTACAATTTAATTATAGTCATCAGATTCAAGCAGCATACGAACACATTGCTTGATGCCGCTGTTCTGTTTTTAAAAGGATAGCCTATTGGCAAAACAGACTCTGAAATTGGAAAACCCACTTAGCCTCATGTTTTTCCCAGGATCCTAATCAGAAATCTATGAGATTTCCTGGGTGATGGATTGAGCTATCCATAACTTGTTTACAAATATCTCTCTGTGAGCATTCAGGTATGCATTCTTTTGACAGGAAAATATAATTTCCTCAGATTCTCAAAGAAAGCATGTGACACAAAATAGGTCAGTGACCACCGTATATACAACATGCTCATTTTTTAGATTGGAAGTGTAAGAATTTTCTCAACAGCAGTTCATTTGTGGTTGCCATGAATCCTGCCCATATATACCTTTGATTATGAAAATGACTTCGTTTCCTGGTTCCTAGGAAAGCAACAAGGTGATGACCTACTTCAAAAATGGTTAACCCAAGGCAAGCTTGGAGTCATAAAGTCACAAACCATCATGGCAGCCTGCGTCCAAATAATGGCAAAACAAGTTAAGAAGGGCCTGGTATTCTCACCCCAAAGAGATACAGCTTGAAGAGCCAGCCCAGTGTAAGAACTCCTTAAAGGGTCCCCAAGATCCC